GCTCGACAGCAGCAGCCCCGGCGGCAGCCCCCCCGGCCCGCCGCCGCCGCCGCCGCCGACCCCGCCGCCGACCCCGCCGCCGGCGCCCCCGGCGCCCTGGATGCTCGCGCTGCGGCGCAGCATCGCCGCGGCCGCGCGGGCGCCGAGGACCGACAGGCCGCCTCGCGGGGAAGTTCCCAGCAGGTAACCCTCCTCCAGGAGGGACTCGCCGTTCACCGAGAACCTCTTCCTGACGTCCTCGCTGAAGTCCTGGAACTCGTTAGTCAGCTTCCCCAGCTGGACCTGCGCGGACGGGGGCAGGAAACCAGGGGTGACGTCAGGCAGTTAGACTAGGCGATTATACATACATTGGAAAGAGAGTGTGGTGGGGGGCACGATCCGCCCAGCCAGAAAGTACATGTTGCGGACTGTGGCGCGAACTGCTTGTGGGTGGGTGCTTGTGAGTGAGAACTGTTGTCTGGTCTGGTCTGGACAGCCCCAAGCTCGGCCCATGGGCACACACCCCGCAGAGCTCCGCCTGACTGAACCGCAAGTCCAAACAGGGACCTTGTTGCCCTCCACTGAGCAAGGATACCAGACACGCCCCCCTCCCCCAAAAACAAGCTGCCCATGCGCACCTGCTCAATGTATGACTTGGGGATGAACTCTGTCATGTTGAGGGCGCGGGCCATGGCGCTGGCACGGTCGCGGTTCTTGGAGTGCACCTGTGGAAGTTCACAGGGCATTCCAGGCAATCGGTATGAGTTGTGGAGTCCAAGTGAGGAGCATGAACACAGCAGTCATAACCCTTTCCCAGAAACGGAGGCATGTGGCTGACTCGGTGGCTCAGCCATGCACGCATTTACAAACCCATGGTTGTACGCGATCGACACGCCATAGCTCAAACACGCGCACGCACACACATACACACACGCGTGCACACACACACACGCACACAAGCACACACACACACACCCTGACATGCTACCGCCCTCCGCCTTACCTGCACAAAGTCCCCCAGGTTCTCGATCTCGTCCAGCTTCACCGTCAGCTCGTCATCCCCGCTCTTGAAGGTAACGGTCTTACGCCGCATGATCGTGCCAATCTCGTAGCCCAGAGCCATCAGGCCCCCCAGGACGCGCACAGACACCTGAGAGGTTTGCAGGGAGGGGGCAGGCGGGTCAGGCGACAGCAGGCCCGCGTGCCATTGAGCGGAGGGTGCCCAACGGCTCCAAAGGGGGCAAAGCGCTGCGCGGGCAGGCAGGATGGGCGGCTCGCAGGCGGGGAGGCGCGGGGTGGAGCCTGGGCATGTGTCGGAGGCGCGGCTGCGACGTGGCTGACCTCAAAGGTGATGCGTGGGGAGATGATGAACGGCCTGTTGCGGTTTGAGGGCGCGGCATGATCGTCAGCTGCAGGTGCATCACTCCCAGAAAGCAAACATGGAGGCCCCCAGACCGCCAGCAATGGGCAGCGCGCCGACAATGCTCCCCCTCCCGTTTCCACGGCCTTTGTCCCTGTTCCCACCCCCTGCACCTCTGCCACCTCGCCCGCTTCGAAGCGCCCCTGCCCTGTTGCCGCCCATCGTACCCGCAAACGAGGGGCGATGCAGGATGCAGGATGTGGGGTGTGGAATGCCGGCTGGGCCTGGGCGCTCACCCCTCTGTTACCCACTCCTCGAACATGAGGGTGTAGCGGCCGTCCCTGTTGCGCATGCGCAGCCAGCTGGAGCAGGTCTCAGGGTCCTCGCTGCGATGAGAGGACAGGTTTGGGTGTGTGTGTGTGTGTGTGTGTGCGTGTGTGTGTGCGTGTGTGTGTGTGAAAGAGATAGACACAGAGAGAGAGAGAGAGTATGTGTGCGTGAGTATGAGTGTGCGTCATCCGCGCTGCAAACATATAAGAGTGGTGAAATGGAATGAGTCTTGGCGTGTGGAAACAAGATTGGGGGGTGCGTATCAGTGTGCTTGTCATTGCTGCAGTGGGCAAGCGAGGGGGTCCAGGCTAGCATTGCAACAGGACCGGGGACTTTGGGAGTTGGGAGTGGTGAGGGGCGGGTTGGGGCTCGCAGGTGACGGATAGCAAGGGCTGGGGCAAGCTCAACGCTTTGACCCGCGTTGCGGTGTGCTGGTACCGGACCCACGTTCACAGCACACAGATACACACACACACACACACACACGACTAGTCAGACCCGTGCACATGCAGGCATGCGACCCCGAGCCCTCACTTTGGTGGCAGCAGGTGGATGTCGTACATCTCCTCACGCTTTGGGGCGGCAGCACCCGGCTGAGTGGAACATGGGTGTGCAGATGGCAGGGTGATGCCAGGGGTGCGCACAGAGTTGCGTACGTGTGTGAGGCTCAGGCGACAGGCTCGTGTGTGTGTGCGTGTTTGTGTGTGTGCATGTGTGTGTGTACGCGCGTGCGCGTGCATACAAGTGTGTGTGTTTGCGCGTGGCCACACACATGAATGAGCACGTGCATGCGTGTGTAAGCAACAGGGGGCAGGGGTGAAGCGAGCAACCTTGCACGGGTACGAATCAAATGGGCCAGAGCAGGGGGCCTAACAATGGCCTCCAGGCCACCAGGATCGAGGAATGCGGCCGGCGGGCTGATGCCTTCAACCCATGGCTCTCACCCCTAGGGCGGCCATGATGGCTTCTGGCGTGATCTCTGGAGTTCGCTTAGACTTGAGGATGTGGGCTGCGTCCATCAAGCCTGGGGGCAGCGGCGGCGGCGGGTGAATACAGGGAGGGCGGCGGCAGCGGGGGCAGGAAGGTGATTGGAGGGAGCCGGGGTGCGCAGGGGTGGGGAACAGGCGGGAGCTTCTGGAGTGATCTGGGGTCTGGGATGCCGATCATATGACCTGCCTGTCTCTTGACCACTCTCTCTCTCAACCACGTGATTATGAGTTCACCCCGCAGAACCTTCCCCAAACACGCACATAAACACAAACACGCGCAACCCCGCAAACAACTGCGCCTGGCAACAGACGACCCGCAGACCGACAAGCAGACAGCCCCGCCTCACCCGCAAAGGGGTTGAAGCTGTTGTAAATCCTGAGCTGCGCCAGCCGCAAGTCCGGCTCGATGAAGGCCTTGTACATGGGGTACACCGTGTCGGTAATCTGTTGGGTTGGGGACCGTCAGGTTGTGAAATGGAGTGTTGGTGAGCTGACGGCAGCGGGGTCGGTGGACGAGCCGGACCCACTTCGCCCCGCCGTGCGCGCCACTGCCGCACAAGCCACACACGCTCAAAATTTGGGTTTGGTGATCCTGTGGATACATGGATCCACAGTTGGGGTGCCAAACCAGAAACCAGGCAATGTGTGAACACAAACCAAACCGTTCATGCAACGCTGTGCCCCCATCTCATGGCCGGCCCCCACAGCAACCTCATTCGCCAGCCAAACTGCAATCCCAGCTTAACAATTTGCACCTGCTGGATGATCTCCTCGGGCCCCTGCCCCGACCGGCTGATGTCGCGCATCACGCGCTTGACCAGGTCAAAGTGCACGCCGCCTGTCGTTTGACCGGCAGGCGGAGAGCGGTAGCAGGGGCAGCGTTTGCAGCCAGTGGCCACCAGCCTGGCGAGCTGAGCACGTCTTTGACAAGAGCAGCGAGGCAGCGGCGAGCAAGGCGCAGGCGCCCGCAGCCAGAACGGCAACGTCGCGCCGAGCCGCGCGGGTGGCGCCCCAGCAACATTCTTCTGCGCAATCTGGAAAGGGTGCAGCGTCAGCCGGTCCTGGTGTGACCTGTGATGGAGACCCTCAGGTCCAGCAGGGGCCGCAGCTTCTCGCTGAGGGCGTAGATCCCCTCGATAACCACGATGCGCGACGGGGGCACCTGGGGATGGGGCCGCCGGGTTGCGTGCAACAGGGGAAAGGGTGAGAATGGGCAAGTCAGGATAAAATAATGCTGAAATAATGTGGCGGGGCTTGTCTGGGGTCTCACGAGGCCGTGGGGCGGGTGGAGGTTTGCGGCTGCGGAGGCGCACGTGTTGGAGCGGGCCACCTGGGCGGAGGCCGTCTGCCCGTGCGCCTTGCCCTTGTACCGGCGCTCAGAGCGTCAACCGGGGCAGGCGCCTGGACTGTTGCTCCCCCCTCCCGGGTTTATAGTGTCTTGGCCCGAAGAAGCGTCGTACCTCGACCTTCTGGAAGCCAGAGCGCCGTGACTGCTTAAAATCGTAGATCGGAACCTGGGACGGGCGGCGTTTGGCAAACATGCGCGCAGTAAATTTGTCAGCTGCTGTATGATATCCAGTCCGGCTCACGAGTTCACACACAAATACAAGCACGCACGCACGCACGCAAATGCACACACGCAAACACACACACGCACATGCACGTACACACGCACACACACACACACGCCACAAAAAGGTGCGCATCGGCCCCCGTCCCACCTGAGCGGCGCGGCCCGCCCTCAGCTCAGCCAGGTTTGCCAGCAGCAGGTCATAGTCCGTCAGACGGGGGTCGTCAAAGTTGCCGTCGATCTGCGCCGATGATGAGCGCGCGGCCGCGGGCGCCCAGGGCGCTTTGTCGGGTGCGAGAGAAAGGAAACTGAAAAGACTCGACCCAGCACGGCCCTGATTTTCCGGCCTTGATGCACCCCAAGCCCTCGAGCAACCAAAGAAGCTGCACCCCGTGTCTAGCCCTATTTTGAACTGCCCCCTTGGCTTCCTCATCAAAGTGCCGGTGCGAGCCACGTGGATAACGGTGTCTTTTGATAAGCTGAAGAAGGTGTCTTTCGATAAGCTGAAACCATTGCATCTATTGTCGCCCCGCCCCCACCAGCTTTGAGGCGTCGTTATAGTTGTCCATAGAGATCACCGCGATGTTGGGCATGAACCCCTTGACGCGCTCGCTGAACGCCGTCTTGCCGCTGCCGCTGGCGCCGCCGAGCCCCACCTGCGGCAGGGAGTGGGAGCGCACGATGCGCGTATGCAACGGGGCGCTCGGGACGGTAGGCTCGCCGCCGGGGGCCCAAACCCTGCACGTCGCAGTGTTACGCATCACAGCCGACTGGCGAAGCGCTGGGCGGGCGGGGCGCACTGGGGTGCACGCGGTCCAACACGGTGTGGCAACAGCCCCCTGTGGCTGTCCAGCGCCAGCCAACCCGGAGTCGAAAGTGACTCGACAAGAATACTTCTGCCGCATGTGGCCGCCTTGCTGGCCCACCCCACGTTTGTGAGTTCTTTGTTTACCCCTCACCAGGACCACGCCCTCGTTGTGGCTCTTCAGCAGCTGCAGCGCCCTGATGAACACATAGAAGCCCTGAGCAGCGCCGGGGGCAGCGCGGCGCGGCGCCGGGCGTGGCGGCAGGGCGGGCAGGGGCCGGGTGGGTCGGGGTGGGTGCCATACGATGCCCAGTGGAGGCAGTGCAGCCGGGCGTGTTGCCTGTCGTGCCAGCTGGCAAGCCCAAGCCGCACACCACGTATTTGTGTGCCCCTCGCGCTCACGCCTGCCGTCCCGTCGATAACACCGTCCCAAGCGTCCAGTCTGCCGCTGCCCCCAGCCACCGGCCGCCTCCCTGCGCCCGCCACTTTCGACAGCAGGCGCGCGTGGCACCCGGCTCGGCGCACGTTGCACTGAAATTAGCGAGGCAGCGGCTGCAAGCTGCCGAATGCCCTGGTCGGCACGGCTCGAGCGCGCGTCTGGATCCGCGACAGACACCGGCCCTGCGCCGAGGGCTGCGCCGGCAGCCCACCTTGTCAAAAGTGAGCTGCTCATCGATGGCCGAGACAGTCCAGCGCGTGCGGCCGTCGGGCCCCTTGAACTTCTCCAGGTGCAGCTTCTCCTTGAGCAAGCCCTTTGTCGACGGCAGTCGTATGCATGGCGTGCGTCGAGGGTGTCGGTTTGGGTATGGGGGCAGGGGTCGGGGGCGGAGGCATGGAGAAGGTGGCCCGGCCACCGCTCGAGAGTGGCTGGCCGGGCCGGCGGCTGCGGCATGGGTGGCGGTTGCTGGAAGGGACGAGAGAGCCCTTGGCTTGCGGGCAGCGCCCATGCGAGGTCGTCCGCCGCATGCGCTCACATTATCGCCCTCAACCTGTCTGCAACCAAGAGGAAAGCACCCGACATGCGGTGGTCCCGCCGCAGCCGCGACCTTCCGCCTCTGCAGGACGTTTGCGCACCTTGCGCTTTCGGTCGAGCGAGGGCGGAGGCGAGGTCGATCGCTGCGGCATATAGCCGCCTCCACTGTGACTATCCGCCATTCAGGCACCTGAAGGCCGTTGTGTGGGATAGCTCAAGCTGTGATCACTCAGCCCGCCGGCTGGAAACTGCGCTGCCTGCTACGTCAGGTACCATAATGATATATACCTCGCTCAAGCGCCTTGCCGTGATCACGCCGTGGTGCAGGGCAGATGGAGGTACGCCTGGTCACTAGGCCTCACCGCAGTGCCCGAAAGGCCTAGCCCGAGTTGTTGTATGAGGCTTGTACATGTCGTCATTCGGCTGATCGTATCGGTTTTATTACACTTATATCGCCAACTACACCTCACAGCTTAGATTGGTAGCACCAGTCCCGATATCGACGTTTGCGCTATGAGGGGCTTGCGACAGTTCCGTGTGTTCGCAAGCATGCCTGTATGCGTGAGCGCCGCTGCCTCCCAGCCAGAGCTGATGTCACCAAAACTCTGCGCGGCCTACAGCAGCAGCAACGCTCGTGCAAGCACCAGCGCAGCGCAAGGGCACGAGGGGGCAGGCGGCCTCGGCAGCACCTGGAGAGAGGTATGTGGGAACATTGGTCATGGCTGCATTGGATAAGTGCTGCCATCGGGCCGAACACCCCGCTGGCGCATGCAGCGCCTTGGACCGGGCGCTCTGCACCAGATCAGCAGCTGCTCGCGGCATGGCTTGGCAGACGAGCTTCGCTCAGCAGCCTGTGCATTGCGCGGACTTCCCCTGTTTCCCCAGCCCTTGCCCAGCGTGCCGCCGTCACCGGCCCACACCTGCGGCGGCCGCGGCGGCCCACCCGGCCTATACCTGTGACCGCCGCCATCACTTGGCTGCAGATCTTGGATGTTGCCCAGGCCGACCGGTCAAAGCTGCACGAGTTCGTCGCTGTGGTCAACCGCCACTGCCTCGCGGTGAGGCGACGCCCACACCCTGGTTTTACCTACGAACCCCACGTCTAAACCCTGCAGATTGCATACGCCGCGATGGCGGATTCACGTCCACCTGCAAATGCACAGCACATGCGCACTGAGCACATTACTACCGTTGCTGGGCCCATGCACCGGGCTGCAGGACATTCAAAACCTAGCAGGCCCCATGCAAATGAGCCCCCGACGGCAGCACGCTGCTTCCCTGTGTCTAGCAGGGTCCCCACGCCACAGCGTATGAGCGGAGCTGTTGGCAGCCACGCAAAAACTCCCGCTCCCCCCATACACGCATCTCACCCTTACCTACACATGCACACCCATACATGCGCTCACCCATGCCTCCACACCCATGCACGCACGTGTGCGCGTGCGCACCCCCTCCCTCCCCCCACACGCACACACACACACGCACGCACGCACACACACACACGCAAACACGCACACGTACACACCTGCACACCTGCTACGCGGCCAGACCCAGTCGTGCCCCCCTCTGGCGGCGTTTAACGAGCTCCTGCGGCTGGCAAACCTCCACAAAGACCGACACAGCGTCGGGAAGGTGCGGGGCGCTGCGTCAACAACATCACTGAATGCTGCAATCAGCTTGGATTGCAGCAGTCAAGGCCAGCGCCCCCTTGGTAAAACTCAGCAGGAGGTCAGGCGCTTGCAAGTCCCAGTGTTTGCAGGGACGGTCTCAAACGGTCGCAGCTCCTCTGCTGGCAGCACCTCTGCGTGCCGCGCGGTCAAGGGGGCCGCGGCACAATGCAACTTTGTGCCGAGTTTCATGCCAAACCCACACACCCGCCCCTCATGCATATGCGCACTCGCATCGCGGCGCATTTCGAACACTGATTGACAACAGCTGGTCGAGATCATGACGTTCAATAAGATGCAGGTCAACAGCGACACCTGGCAGCGGCTGGCAGAGCACAAGCAGTACTTTGGGTCGGTGGGGGTGGTCCGCACAACAGGCGGCGGTGGTGGCGCGGGCGGCACCGGCGGCGGCAGCACTGACAGCGGCGGCAGCAGCACAAGGAGCGGCGGCGGCGGCGGATGGGGCGGGGTTTCCGGGGGCGCAAGTGCAGGCGGCGGCTTCGGGGCGGGCAGCGTCAGCGGCGGCGGCAAGAAGGCCGGCAGCTGATGAGGATTGCGACGAGACCCTTTGGGTTTCATACATCGAGAGCGGTGCAGCAATTTTGAAGCCGCCATGGCAGCTTACAGCGAGCGGCCTGTCAAGTCAATTGTTGCAAACATGTTTGCTTTTGCTGTGCACGTCTTGTGGTATGTAGCCTGCTTGCCGGAAGTCTGATGCTTCTGAAGGTGTGCGCGCGCACCTTTGCCCGCCCGCCACGCGTTGCTGTGACGTGCCCGGCGTTTCACTTCCTCCTCCGCAAGCGTCGACTCAACCCATCACCGGTAGTGCCGGGCGCATTGGCCACACACACCTCAGATGTTGCACCACATTACCCAGTCATAGCCCCATCGCATCCGGCTGCCTTGCCCTCGCCCGCGGCCGGCCTCCGGTGCGCATGTGCCCATTGTGCACAACGCAAGAACCACAGACTCTTGCGCAGTGGAGGCATAACGGCGTCACACAATGGCTTGAGGAAGGGGAGCAGCATTCCTACCTCTCATATTGCGCCTCACCTAGGCCATCTCACACTCCGCCTTTCCATGATTGGCCAAAAGGGCACGTCTCGAAGCATCTACCATGCTGCAACCTTCCGTTGTAGCCCTTGTGGCATGATCACCGCAAAGGCATCACATGAGGAGGAGAGGTCAGGTGGCAGGACATTCAGGCCGAACGCGGCGACAAGACAACGGCTGCGCTCGTCTGCACCACACGCGCAACAATGATGATTGGGGCTTGTGGGGTTGTATCCCTTGCATGTTGCAGTGGCAGCATCTGGTCGCCGGGCCGGACAAAGATTATGTCTACGCGCAGGAAGTTTGCGTGCATCCGTGCAACCTTGCTTTTTGCATAAGCCAGTAGCCTGCTATGGTGTGCTGCCGCCGCCGCCAACATAATCGACCAGATGGGCACTTGTAAACGGCAGCCCTTATCAACTGCAACCTGCCTGCCAGGTAGGCACGACAGTAAATGGGCCGGCACGATAGAAAATGGGCATCACGCATGTCACTACCAATTCATCCTGCACCTGTGCCATATGAATTGGCTGCAATAATATAGCGTACTGCTTTTGGAGATTTTCACCATCCAGAGCACCAAAGGGGGTGCTGGTTGTGCCGCAGCCCTCGCAAGACTCGTGTCAAATTGAAACAGCCAAATCTGCTGTAGCAGGCTTGTGAGCTGTCATGACCGACGTGGCAAGATTCTGGTCATAAGATGACCATCAACTTGGAACCTACACTGCTTTGTCAGTGACGCAAAGCACGCGCAGCAGGCATGCAGGCAGGGCATGTGCACGTGGTCAGTCAGCTGGTCACTCGTCAAGCACGCCAGGTCAGCTTACAGCAGCGCGTCCGCTACTCACGCTTCCGAGCCTTTGCGACTGAGACAAAATGAAGGAATAAATTTTGATTTCGCGAAAGCTCCATCTCGCCTGCTGCCCCAGTTATACGGTCGGCCGAGATCTGTCGTCAACTTGACTCTTTCCGACCTGGCTTTTTCGCGTTACATCGGTAGCTATGATCAAAAGGAGCTCACCGAGATGCCAGCTGCGCCACGACTGCGGCATCATTACCCATTTAGCAGCGTGGCCTGCTCGACGCGTTGCCGCACGGCATGTGTGCGCAGTCGCAGAGTCTGCGTCAGCGCCCACAGCCCACGACACCAAGACCGAGGCTGCGCTGAGGGTGAGGTGAATTTGCACGTGCTACGCAGTAGTGTGCGGCGCCCAGACGCGTGTGTGCTGCCCGCGTCGCACTGAAAACCGGCCGACACAGGTGTATGCCCAAGGGGATTGCTCCCACGCACATGCTCGTGCGCACGGCTTAGCCCATGCACCTGATTGTGACTCTGCAGGGTCCTGCACGCATGTTCAAGGCCTCGGTTGACGCTATGCTGGAGAAATACTGGGGTGAGCGGCCTGCCAGCACCCTTGGCTGTTGGTCTTGAACCTTTCTGCAAGGGGAAAGACACGGATGGCATCCGTCTAGCATCGCTCCATGTGCAGCAGAATCTCTTGGGACTGCTCAAGGCCATGTGGCCAGCATGCTTGATTATGTAGAACCATCTGCCGCCGCGCTGCAGCAGCCGCTGCTACCACCCTCAGCTCGTGTGCGTGGCAAAAGCACTTTGACAGCATCTTACATTAGATAACCCCGCCCTCCCCCAGAAGCGAGCCCGCGCGCCCTCTCGGCCATGGAGCGGCTGTACTCAGCGCCTGGCGGCTACGGCGCCGACCAAATTTCATACGATCACATCGCGTTCCGCACCTTTGGCGTGAGTAGGCACAAGGGTACATGCCGACTTGGTGGGCGTGGTTGCTTGTCATCATGATGTTGGCCGTGATGGCAACTAACAAAGGTGATTCACCATGGCCATGCCACCAGGGGAAGTCGTTGTAGAACATGCGAGCGCATTGACTTGCAGCGTCGCCCGTGTTCTCTGCGTTTTATACCCTCATGGCAAAACGCACGCACCACGGCTTGAAGCCCCGGGCCCCTCCCCACAAAGCCCAGTCAACAGCAAACCTGCATTTGCATACTCAGTTGGTCCACATTGCTGAAAGGCCTGTGAACCAATCCAAATCCACAGCTCCCTGGTCTGGGCATTGGCAGCGTGGCGGCGGCGCTGGAGTGCTTTGGATTTACTCGCCAGGGATATCTCGATTTCCCGGGCAGGAACGTCACTGCGGCATGGTGGGCAGCAGGCGGCCGATGCATAGCGCCCCTCATGGGAGCCTGAGCTTGGCCCCTCACCTCCATTGGCAGGCCAAATGGACGGCCATGGCTGGCGCGTCGGGGTTTGCTGCCCCCACATATGCCTGCATGACAGCTGACTGGATTGCGGCTGGACTTATTTGCTTGCAATGCGCAGCAGGTGGGTAAGGAACTGGCAGGCAAGCTCTCTGCCAACTTGCTGGCACCAAACCTTGTTACCTCCCCCGCGCCCCCCCTGGCCCAGGTTTGCGCCGCCCCCAGCAGTGCCAGGCGGGCCGCCCACGTACGGGCAGCTGCCGAAGGTGTTGGTGAGCCAAGTCGAGGTACGTAGTGGCTGCTATGGCGCTGATGGCATGGCAGCACGCAGAGCCCGCCACGTTTGTTGAAAAGGCCTGTTCGTATGCGCTTTGTACCGCGCCTTGCGGTAGCAGATGCAGAAATATCCTGCACTCTCCCGGCCTCCAACCCTGACTGGGCGCCGGCCTCAAGCTCACCAAGCAGTCCAACGTGGCGCGGCTGCGACGCACGCACTGCCCTTCACAGCTCTCCCTTTCTCATCACGCAGCCGCATTCAGTATCCACAACGCTATCCCTCCCCCTCCTGCACAAACATCTCAACAAACCTACCCTCCTTTCCGCAGGTGTCACGTCTGTCCCAAACTGCACAGGCCACAATTCGACGCCACGCCGCCGGCTTCCCTACCTTCGGCCCGTCTGCGGCCTGGGCAGCAGCGCTGACTAAGGCGCTGCCGTGGGGTGATGTCACGCCAACATGGGATGAGTATGCGGCACTCTTGCAGGAGAGCGAGTATGCCGCATGGTGAGTCCATGGCTTCCCTTGGTTAGCCCCTGGCTTGGTTCTATGGATACCTGGTGGTGTCAATTTTTGCGGTGCACCCAGATCCGTGGTGCTTGGCCCATCGGTGATTGCGATGGTAGCTTTGCCTGCTGGCCGATTGTCGCTGGCAGGCGGGTGTCCTGAAGGTTGGAGGCGCAATGGCGGATTTATGCACTGCCTCATCAGCATGATGTGTGTACCTGGATGGCATACAGGACACCTGGCAATACTGCAACATTTCCTCGAATTGCCAACTCAACCTTGCCTCAAACTCCAACTGCCGTCAACCAATCAACGATCATAGGGTGCTGGTCAACGGCTACACCCCTGCCTGCATGGCCCTTGCCTGCCACCGCCTCGCCGCCCCCCACCCCGGCGACGGCGGCGGCGGCGGCCTGGCTGGCGCCATTGCGCGCCTGCAGTCACGGGGCTTCGCCCTCAACGAGGAGGGCGGCGCCGTAGTAAGGGCATCGGAGGACGGCCTGCTGCTGCAGTCAGCGACGGTGGCGGACCTCATCGAATTCTGGTTTGCAGGAGAGCGCGAGGTGGGGCGCCTGCTGGCGCACTGGAAGTATGCATGCCTCACCTGCTGTGTCCAGCAAGCTGTCCAGGATGCTTGGAATTCACATCAACCATTAACAGATGTCTTTGATTTCAAGAAGTGCGAAGCCTGACACCTCCGCCAAAAACTGCACGACCCTGCGCGGCGTCAACCCGCCCCTGCTTCTCGCGCCTTTGTGCCTTCCATGCATGTGCAGCCCTTCCTGGTTCCAGGCTCCTATCTGGCGTTGGTGGAGCGCCTCCCGCTCCCGCAGTTCTCCCACCTGCTGACCGATGAGTTGGGAGAGGGCCATCTGCGCCAGGGGTTTGACGCCGCTGCATGCGATCTCATGTTTGAGTCAACAGCGCTGGCAGCCAAGCAGGCGGGGGTTGCTGCGGCGGCCGCTGCAGCGGGAGGTACTGGCGAGTAGCCTCAAGCAACGGTGTGCAGCAGCCAAGGCAAGGCACCCGGCAGCCCGGGCGGTGGCGTCGCTGTGTGCAGTGGACGAAGCAAATGCTGTTGTTAGAATGCAAACGTTGCGACTGCGTTTGTTTGCAGGTACATTTTTCAAACATCGAGACGCACAGATGTGTGTTGACCGCCCTTCTTTACCAGCCGGCTTTGCCGATTTGGTGCCCGAGCGTGCCCGGCCAGGCCCTGCCACGTGCGTGTGTTGTGCCTGCTAGCGGTTTCCAGGCTGGAGGCGCAGGTTCGCACCAAAGCTAGACACTCAGGTCTAAATTGCATTGCCTGGACGCCTTGGCGTATGATTTCTCCAGGGGCAGCTTGTTGGTCGCGCCTGGGCAGGCGCACGCCGGCAGCTTTACCGGCGCTTGCCTGCTCTTTTGCCAGAAAACATTGAGATTAAGGGGCCCATTCTTCAGCACTTGGTGCTTGGCAAGAATAAAATTGCTTCAGTAGGACAGCTGATCCTGGCTGCTTCTTCTGTCTGGGGGGTGCAGACGTCACATTGAGCCGAGGACAAGATTGTCCAGGCGTAGTGCAATGCATTGCGGATGGCGGGTCCAACTATTCTGTGAGCCTCTTTTACAGCACTGCTTGCATTCATGTGCAATTGCAGCAATTTTAGCACACACCATGGGCGGATGCAATGTACCACACCCGTGTGTAAAGTCATTTGAACAATTACGTGAATCTTGCTTCAGTGCCGGTTCTCAGACGAAGCAGGGTGTCACGTGTCAACAGCTGCGCTGGCTTATCCGTCATGACTCACTGGCTGACAGTGCAGAGTGCGGCCTTTGAAACAATGTTTTGCCTGCTGCAGAAATATGAAAAAGTTGGTTATCTTCAGTTGAGGGCCGAAGGGCCGCAGCTTCTTGTTCTGGCCAAGCAACCCCCTGCTGGTGGATCAGCCATCCAGATTGAATCCAGCCATGTTCTTATTGCAACGGAAATCACACGCAATAGCAGCCATTTATCAACTTGCAGATGAGCTATGTAGCCCACAGAGGAATCAAAACCACAGGGCTTCATCTGAGATGAGCCGCCACCAGTCGCCACAAGTGCTTGCCGCAGTGTGTTGACTTCTGGCCCGATGGTCAAGCGCCCAAGGTTGCCATCCCGTCAATATCACATTTAACGTCTGAATAGGTGCCAGGCATGCCAGTACTCAACATACCGGCTTCCTGGAGAGCAGGCGCCAGCTGCAGGTGTTAGTGCCTAGCCCATCAGGAGCGCCATACGGATTCCCAGGGGAGGCAGCTGGACAGCACGTCCAAACAACGCAGCACCGAGTGATGAATGCACCAAGGCGTTCGCGCGTTACCATAGATTTCTTTGAGCCCGCACTCACCCTCATCTTATTCTTCAACACTGCAATATTGATCTGTGCACACGGGCAGAGCGGCCGGTGATCCCGGACCTGGGAGCCTCGCAAATCTTCTTAGCATCTGATTGTATGACAAATTGTTCACAGACACATCACTGCCTTGTACCTGCACCCGCAAGCCTGAGGTCACACCCGTCGGCCCCGCAGTGCGGCGCGCTCCGTCTTGCTGCACAGCAATGCGGCTGTCGCGCCCCAACCTCCCACTCGCCGCGCCGCGCGCGTGCGGCGGCGCGAGCGCCGCCCTCGCCAGTGCGGTGAGGCGCCTAGCGAAGCTGATCGGCAGCGGCGCGCACGAGGGGGCGCAGCTGGAGCAGGCGTGGTCAGACGTGACGGAGCAGACCAATGCGTCGGCGTCCGCCGCCCTTGGGCAAGACGAGCTGGCGCTGCTGGCTGCACTCATCCGCGACGGCGTCGGGGGCGCGCAGCCGGTGGTGCTGGTGCACACGCTGATCTGGCAGAGCGCCCCGCGGCGCGCGCAGGTGGGTTTGCAGCTGCGCGAAGCAGGCGAAGCCGACACGTGCATGCGCGGCGGCCATCGCCAGGTGGCTGCGCGGCGGCCGCCCATGTGGGGCGGGGCAGTTTGACCGGCGAGGCGTGGTGCATATACAGCGCTCCTGGCACACGTTGCCGAAGCAGTTTTTTTTTCCATGACAAAACGCAGGCACATGGGCCCAGCGCTGCTGGGGATCCTCATTGCCCTCCCCGCGCATGGTGCAAGACACCAGTCCTATACAGCAATTAGAGGCAGCACAAGATCCTGTGCCCATACGCCACCCGCCCAACCCACTGCCCCCTGGATCCAGGTCGCAACCAGCCCCAAAATCGTGCTGGCGCTGCTGAAGCGGACCGCCGCGTTCGAAGCCGACGAGGACGCCGCCGCGGTCAGCGCCATGGCGGTCGGGGACCTGTGCCGCGGCGACGGGGCGACGGGCAGCAGCTTCGCGCCTGAGGTGCGTGACAGTGCGTGCCAGGGGGGCAAGTGTACCCTGTTGTATCTGGAAGCCCTGGAGCACGGGGACTCATGTGGGCCGCGTTGGTGCGGTCCCGGGGTGAAGCGCTGTAATCACGGCAGCACACGACTAATGGTTACAGTGCACAACAGCAGCTGCACGCGGCGCAGCTGTTGGTTCAAGAAAGCAGGTGCCAGCCGCACAGCCCCAGTCTCACACAGCGGTATGGGCGAAACCACTCAGCAGCACATGCCTTGGCTGCATCGACAGCCCGCGAGTCTTGCGACGTGCTCTGTGCCACCACCCCGGCATTCTGTTCATCCCCCGGACCCGCAGGTGATGGCCGCCCAGCTGTCGGAGGACCCCTCAGACAGCGCCCTCGCCATCCTCTGCCACGTCGTCGCCGCCCGCCATCCCAACCGCCTGCTGACTGGGTCCGTGCTCTCCGCCGTCTGCGACATCTCGCGCGGCTGCCCGGGGGCGCGCCCCGAGATCGCGCGTCAGGAGGGGCTGCTGGAGGGCCTGGCCTGGTGTCTCGACACAGACGGCGGCGTAGATCGCTGCAACGATCTGATCGACCAAGATCAAGATCAAGATCGAGATCAAAGTCAAGATCGCCAGAGCCCCGAGGACGAGGCCGAGGAGGACCAGCTGGTTTGGCGCCAAGACGTGCGCGCCGCGGCGGCGTGGGCGGTGGAGGCGCTGGCACGGGAGCCAGGCGTTGCCGCTGCCGCGGCGGCGACGGCGGGCATTACAGAGGGCCTGCGGCGCGCCGCTGAGGTGGCGGCGCTCGCAAGGTCGGAGGCGCGGGCCGCGTTGGATCTCTTGGCAGCAGCGGCGGTCGGCGGCAGCGGCGGAGCCCCTGCAAGCGCCAGCGGCGGCGCTGCTCTGCCAGCGGCGGGCGGGGCGGCCGCTGGGGAGGCGGGCGGCAGCGATGCCGCCGCTCCACCGAAGCTGGTGGCCTGTGCACCAGAGCCGGCGGGCGCTTTGGAAACAGCCGCCAGCAATTAGGAGGTGCGGCTGCGGCATCGGGGTTTTAGGTGGAGAAGAGCGTTATCAGGCCATCAGGCTCCGGCTGTATGCCTGATCATTTGCCAGCCAACAGCTGATGAATTTCTTGCGCATCGGGCAATGGGATTGGGTGCATGGCAAGGGGACGCGGGCCGCACGCGCTTCAACACGCTTCCTCTGGTTCACAATCACCAACCTGGGAAACAGGATCCCTGAAGCTTGAGACATAGCGAATGCCTGCCTGCCCGTATGGGCATTGGCACCACTGACAAAACCCCAGAATTGTGATGGCGCCCTGCTCATGGGATTGCAGAGCTGCTGCCCGGGGCGGCAAGCCGACTGCCTGCCTGCTGGTGCGGCGGCGTGTGTCATCAACCTAACCGTGGGATCACGTATTTGTTTGTCGAGTGCTCATATGGGCGCATTCCTAGGTGCCCTTCGATGTTGAAGCTAGTGCTAGCCAATATGTCAATGCCACCCTCCCACAAACAATTCTTGAGCGTTGCCCTCCATATCTTGGTTGCGTACACCATGGTGACTATGGAGGGGCAGTTTCCACATCGATGGCTGCGAACCAGCAACTCGCCCGCTGTTCATCTCGTTGTAAGTGTGGCGACCCTTGAGCAAACTTTGGGAGGGCCTGAGCCAGCTCAGATATACTCAGCGGGTGTTGAGATTTCGCAGCTGGCTCACAACCATGCTGCGCTCCCCTGGTCGTCGTTTGGCTGGCGTGGCTGCCGCTCAAGCACGGCCACATGCGCCGCACCAGGAGGGCAGGTGACAACCAACACCGCGGCCGAGAAGACCACCGTCAGCCGCGGCCGACCAGCTGTTGCAGCTCGTACAATGTGTTCTGGGGAGAGTTAGGGACATAATTCCGTCCTGGATGGGCAGAAGCAAGCAAGAGTCCCCACATGATTCATAGGGACTGGTTGCTCACTTCCAGTTGCGTTGACGTGGCACCCGCCAAGGCGGCACCCGCCTTACGGTATTGGTGTTGAAGGGCACCGGCAGCCAAATGCCCAGGATTTCCTATGACTTGGGCCAGCTTGTTTGCATTTTACCGTGAATCGACTAGCCTGGTCAGGTTCTCGCCGATCTGGCACTCTTTCGCTGCCACCATCGACGCGTTGCAGCTGCCGTACACATCTACAATTACCGTAGCCTAAAATCTGCGAGGCATTCTGCGACGAACCGACTGCCACTGCCCTTCCGCCGCTGCGCTTTGGCGTGTGCTGCGGCGCCGAGCTGCACTTTGGCAACCCATCCAGGATCGAAAGGTCAGCCCGTAGTCCCAAGTTCAGACCCCAGTAACGTCAAGCTCAAACCCCAGTAGGACGTGCTGTAGGCACACTGGGCCGCAAGAGCAGCGGCAGTGAGGACGCGCGACAGGCACCCCGAGGCTCGCGGCGCGGCAGCAACGCGACACCGGGCGGCGGTGGCAGCAGCAGCAGCAGCAGCAGTAGCAATAGCAGTAGCAGTAGCAACAGGAGCAGCAGCAGCGGCCATGGGGAAGGGAGGCACCAAGTTTGAGGGCGATGCGGTCGGCATCCGCGGCAAGACCAAGGTTGGGCTGTCTGCCAAGGAGATGCGCAAGAACATGGTGCGATGCGGCCAACGGGAACGCAAGGGGGAAAATGCAGCGAGATGGCCAAAAAGCGGCGACGAACCCTTCCGTCCTGTCGTTTTGGGAGAGGTGACGGCGTTTTGGTGACACTTCATTGTCCCCGGCCTCCTGTACACCCTACCCCGCCATTCTGGGTTGCTGGGTCTACACTCGTATCTTATGCAATACACAATCGTCAAGCAATTGACACTGATGAAGGCCCTGACGCGAAGGCGGTCGCGGCACTGCAACCACAGGAGAAGTTCCTAGAGACGGGCGTGCACCCGGAAATCGAGAGGCAGCAGCGGGAGGCGGCTGGCGACACGGGCTACGTGTCGCTGCCCGACCACGACCAGCACCGCCCCTTCGTCTTCTGGGATCTCACGATCGACAACAAGCCCGCCGGTGCGCCGCTGCCTGCATGGCATGCGGGGCCTGCTCCAACGGCGATTCGCCGAGGCTGGAGGCGCGCTCAGCCAGGGTGCCGGGGGGGGGGTGTGGCAATGATGACGCTGCAGATTGTTCTGTACTAAAATCGATCGCAGGGCGGCGGAAAACGCCCTTCCTTCAAAGCCGCCTGGCTGTGTTTGCATTATCAGCAACCCCGCCGCGGTCTGAGCGCTCATCCGACCGTATTGCGCTGCCGTCATCGCCCCGGCTGATGACGTCACAACGACTCACAGGGCGCCTCGTCATCGAGCTGTTCGAGGACCTGCACCCCAACGGCGCCAACCACCTGCGCACGCGCTGCCTGCCAGGCGCGACCGCCAGCCTCTCGGGCGCGACCTTCCACAAGCTGCTGCGCCACTACGCTGCATTTGTGGGCAAGAGGTGCGCCGGCGGCGCCGCCATGCTCCCTTGGAGTTTGCTTGGAGCTTGTCTCGTCTCTGGGTGATTGTGCGCATCACAACTTGGGCTGGCCTTGTTTTTGGGTTCTTTGGGGAAGGCACCTGTGCCATTTAGGGCCCTTTGCCGGGTGTAGACAGGCAATTCGGTTGAGGCATAGGGAATTCAGGCCTTGCACTGCTTTTGCCGTTCCATTTGGGCATAATGAAGCCAACCCCAGTGGCCACGTGTTCATGCTCATGTTCCGCGTTTCGCCTACACACCAGCACACATGCGCGCCCCGCACCAACGCCCCAACGCCGTCTCGCGCCGCGGCGCAGCCCCGCGGCTGCGGTGCCGGCGCTGCGCTCAAGCAAGTACCTGCGCAACTCAGAGCTGGGGGCGGTCTCGGTCTCCAACGACGGCACTGAGGTGGCAGTGTCTATGGGGCGCAGCCTGACACTAGACTCCAGCCACCAGGCGAGGCGTCAGGGCTTGGCCGCGCACGAGCGCCGCGCCAGCCGCTGGCCAAGTTCCCTCATTGGGGGAGAGTCTTGACGCCCGCCGGGCTTCGCGGCGGCGGCGGCGGCGGTAGCGGCCTGAGCTATGCCTGAGCGCCGCCCCCCCTCCCCCCCCCCCACGTCGTGTCTGGGGCGGGCTCGTGCAACTGCACTCCACCCGGGGGCCTTTGGCCAGTCATGCGACCACATAAAAAAAACTCTATATCATCACGCCGCCGCGCGCGCCCCAGGTGGTGGGGCGCGTCCACATGGGCAAGGAGGCGCTTGAGGCCCTGAACGACCTGAGCACCACGCCCGACGACATGCCCCTGCAGCGCATACGCATAGCCAAGTGAGCCCGCCTGGAACCTTCGCACACTGTTTGACTGTGACTGGGGGCGTGGCGGACCACGTCGGTGGTGGTGGCGTTTGCGCTCCATTCACCGTGCTCAACAGCCAGCCACTTTCAGGCTTTGGCAGGGGCGCTCCCACCCGCCTGTTGCGCTCGTGACCAACTCGCAAACGCCTCCCCCCTGACCAGCACGGCCCTCTTCCTGCAGCCGCGGGTTTCAGCACCAAGACCTCTTCAGGAAGCCACACCTCGAATCTCGAATCAATACCCCCTCGTTCCAAAAACCCAGGTGTGGCGCCACCAACCACAAGGGCACCCACGACACACTGGACGACGCCGACAAGCGGGAGACGGCGGCGCAGGCGGCGGAGCGGCTGGAACAAGAGTCACAGAGCACCAAGGCCTCCATCCTGTGGGTGGCCCCGCAACCCCCCCCCCCCCCCGTATGATCTTTTGGGGGGACTGTTGCATGGGGGTTGCGAGGGGAGGGGGTTGAAGACACATAAAGCGGCAGGCAGGAAGCTACAGCCTCACTTGACGCTGAGATTGTTGTGTCGCGTCTTGGGTGTTTTGCTTGATGCTGTTTATACTTATAGGTTGCAGTCTCGCGTCGGATTGCATGTGAGTTGCACACACCCACAGCTATTGGCATGCGCCCTCACGCGGCCGCCCGCGCAGGGACGCGCTAAACGAGGGCCTGCGAGGCGCCAAGCGCAAGGCGCCAGACGCCGCGGGCGGCGGCGCGTCGACCTCCGGCGGCGGCGCTAGCGGCAGCGGTGCAGGCAGCGGCGGTGGCAACGCAGGGGGAGCAGCGCGCAACGTGCGGGGGCGGACGATGATGGACCCTTTGGAAGGGCTCAGCAGCGGCGACAGCGAAGAAGACGAGGGGGACGAGGGAGAGGACACTTAGGGGTGCACCGCACCCATTCTGACGCGCATGCATGCATGTGCTGCTTCCTTGCCTGCCCGTGCCGACCTGCACGCCCGGCAAGGCTGGCAGCAGCCAGCCTGTCTGCAGGGGCTATCCCCCTCGCGCGCAGCTGTGGTAATCCGTGACTCAGGTTGAGTATGCTTCTAGAGCCTCGGTCAGATGTCCTTGTATGTGGGCTCAGGGCGTTGCTGTCTCAAAACCGGCCCACAGCAGCAAGCTTCAAAGGGTGCTGCATTGACAGGACCTCGTGTGCTTCCGCTGAGGAGTTGTGTATATTTTCTTTGGGATGACGCGGCGCGCATCACAGGCAAGGGGGCGGGGCGTTTGCAGATCTGGGAGAGGGTGGGGGCAGGCAGAACAGGCTCGGCACGTCCGTGGGCCGCTTGGCTGGGGCCGCTGATGGCAGGCTGGAGGCGATGTTGGCGGCCGGGGTAAGGCAAGGGGCAGGCAGTCGCTGTCTGTCTGACGTGTCACGTGGGACCTACTCAAGACTACAAGGGACCGACTGGTTGGGGGATTGGGACCGGCGGCAAGCTGACCCCTGCACTATTTACACACTTTCGGAAGGTTGTGACTCACCCAAGTAGGGGCTAGAAGTTGCTTGGTGCCGGGGAACGGGTACGGCGCCGATTCGACGCCCGGCTCAGCGCGACACTGACACACGCACGGGCCCCCCGCAGCCACAGCCGCCACCACGGCCGGGCGCAGCGCCGCCGCAGCCGCAGCCGCCGCCGGCCCCGCTGCTGCGGCCGCCGCCCAGCTCTTCGCGCCGGCGGCGCAGCCAGTCCGCCAGCTCGCTGTCGCGGGCGCCCGCAAAGCGCGCGAGGTTCTCGAATGCAGCGCCCGACTGAGCGATGCGCGCGCGGTGGGACTCCACGGAGCGCTCTGCGATGCGCAGGCAGAGCAGCACGTAGCCCACAATCTTGGCCGCGTTCTGGGAGCCGGGCTGCGTGCCGCAAAAAGTGTTGTGCATGGGGGGGAGCAGGGGAATGGTTCTCATTATGTGTCAATCAGGGTGCGCACCTGCAGGGTGTGGCACCGCCGAGCGTCTGCAACGAGGCTTGCAGCATGCGCGACTGCAAACGCGACGCAAAGCTAAGTGTGACGCACTGGGAAGCGGAACTCCACCGTGCCATGGCGGCTCAACGCATGGAAGTTGACCTTGTAGTACCTGCGTATGAGGGGTTTGTGTGTCTACATGTGACTGCAAGTATTTGCATGGCTGTGCGCACACACTTGGACAAACACAGCAACAGGGGCACAGCTGGTTGGCAACACAAGGGGGGCGAGGCTCTTGCTCATGCAGGGCCCTAACAAAGCGATTGTCTCGAAAAATGATTGGCAATTATACTCAGATGCGTGCAAATCCACCCACGCATGTATGCACGCCTGCTGTAACGCGTGCATACCTGTCCCCTGGGTTGACAGCGGAGACCAAGCTCTCCACTGTGTCAGCCGCCTGTATGGAGTTGAGCACGGGCCGGAACCCCTGCAAGCTCACACGCGCCTCGCGTGTGCCGCCCCGCACGCTCTTGCAGTATGAGTTGTTGTTCGCCCGCCGCGAGTGCACGTTGACTGCGTCCAGGCCGCCCTCCAGCACGACGGCATTGCGCGCGAGCGTCTTGAGCGCGGCCAGGGACCACGCGCCGGGGGCCTTGACCTGTGTGTGTGTGTGTGTGTGTGTTTGTGCGTGCGTGTGCGTGCGTGCTGCACGTGCATTCTTGTGCAGGTGCACTTGCAACAACCATGCACACTTATACGTGTGCAGGTGAGCATGCGTGCAGAGTGATTTGTCGAGGTCAATTTATGGGCGACCGTACGTGCGCAATATCCACACATGTAGCCTTCACTCATGAGAGCCTGCCAGACACTCCCTCTCTGCACGATGTTTGACAGCGCATGCACACACGTGCACGTTTACAGCCATTGACGAGCACATGTACTTACATGCACATGCATGCCCGTGGACGTGTTAACAGAAGGCCGCAGCGGCTTGAGCGCCGCCATGGCCTCAAACACACTGGACATGCCGTCGATGCCCCACAGGATGGGAGACACCACCTCCCCCTTAGCACAGCCGTCGTCAAGGCGGGTGCAGCGGATGCTGCCGTCGTTCTTCAGCCTGTGAGCGACCGCGTGTTTGTGGGCAATCGCGCGGTTCAGGGTTTAGGGTTCAGGGTTTAGGGTTTCAACCCTAAACTCTTTTGGGCATTCACATTCTTGGCCGCTTCGCCCGGGTAGGTGCGAGTGTGTGGTGTGGTTTGCAACACTTTAGCCGTGCGTTGCCGGTTTGGGTCAGCACGTTGCATGAGCCTACTTGTGCAAATCAAACCCGCAATATACAGCCAGCGTGCGCGCTCCGCGCCGCTCAGACGGTGTTGGTCCCAGCGCACCGCCAAGGCTGGCCGCCGAAGGTGACGCCGGCCAGGCGCTCCTGCACGTCGGTGAGCGCCACACTGGCGGGGAACACCAGCTCCAGCTCAACACCGAATGTGAAGCCGGACGGGAGGGTGTCAATCCCGGCAAGCCGCCGCAGGCCGATGCCGGCGCGCCCACTCCTGCTGCCACCGCGCCCCCCACCGCCGCCGCCGCGCCCCGCACCGCCCCGTCCCTGCCCCGTGCCGCGGCCGCCACCCTGCTGGGTGCTGCTACGTTCACTTGCTCTGTTGTTGGGGTTGGGGCCACTGCCAGAGGAAACGCGGGCGAAGATCACACAGGTAGCAGCCCTGCCCTGGCAGTGCACCAGGGGCCTCCTGCTGGCTCCATGGCTGGATGTGACTAGCGAAGAAGTGGCTCTTGTCAACATGTTGCTCCTCAAAAATAGCGACGGAGTCTTGGGTTGCCGCGCGCGCGTGCAGAGCTAGCCCTCGGAGCAAAATAAACCGCGCGGCACGTGTTGGATTCTGGGAGATGGAGAGTGTGAACACGGATACATCAATTCTGGAGCACACAGATGCAGCAACCGCGCAGCCAACACAGAACGGCTCCGCACGGGGCGCGCACAACCCCAAAAACCTTCGCCTGCACGAGCATCGGACCCCAACACATCGATGCTGAATATCTGAGAATGTCATCACAACCTTAAAAAGCATCAAACTTCACTGTGTCCCATTGATTGAGCCGTTGACGACCCGGCGGTAGGTGATCAGCAGCGTTCTGATGTGCGGCTCACTGCGGTTGTCGTGCGCGCTGAGCGCAGTGACAGACAGCACTTTTCACAAGGCGTTCAAGGCGGACTTGGATCGCGTCACCAAAGCACGGTCATGGTCAGCCTGGATGCCGGAGCTGCCCCCGCGTGGCCTCTGTCCATGCCAAGAACCTGGCAGTTGCCTGCGGCATCTTGCAAGCGTCGCATCCCGATTTTCCAGGCACAACTCAAACCCTTGCATCCTGCCTCAATGTAATGTACCAGGCTGCTTCTACGATGATCCAGCACTGCTGGCAGTGAGCATCATTGCTCACCATAAGGGTCAAAGTGGCCCAGTCTGCAGGCGGTTCGTACATGTGTATGCGTGTATGGTGTGCGTGTGCCCGTTTGCAAGCTACTAAGGTGCGTAGGTGCCCTGTGCTCTTTGCGTGCATGGGGCTTCCGTCAAACAGACAGGGAGAGCCTGCTCTCACTCCTAGTGGCATGGCCGCCATGCCGGCGACTTGCCCACCTTCAAGGCGATATGCCCCCTGCCGGCCCCGACAAACCGTCACAGATGCCCTACTTCTTCTTGATTTGCACCACAAACCCATGGCTGCCCGAATCTGCAGGGAATGCAGTGGCGAGCATGCAAATCACAAATTTCATTAAGGGCGTGGCCTCGGAGCGCTCGCGCTGTTGCTGCGCCGGGGAGAGAATTGCCTATGATTGAGTTCTATGCAAGTCATCGTAAGTGACACCCTTTGGCCTTTGGCGCATGCCAGCTTGCCGAGGGAGACAGCCGTGATCTTCACGGGCGAGCACTGGACAAGCACGAGTTGCCATGTGCTGATCTGTTTGCCGCGCGTCTTTGACTACATAAAATTAACGTGTTTTGCCAGCCCTTTGTTGTGTGCATCACTTTCTGGCCAAGTGATATTTCGCCACACCCAAGACCCAACCTACAGCACTCGCCGAGTTTCTACAGCACATGAGGGCCCATTTCACAGCTATGAACCTTGGAAAGGGCGGGCTCGCGTCAGCGCGGCAAGTGCTGCAATCCACATGGGCGCGGCGCCACTAGCACTTGGACTGAGCCCGCACCCGCGCCATGCGCAGCGGCTTCCTGACCCAAAACGATGGCGGCCGCTTCCAGGAGGTCGTGCGCGCCGTGGAGCGGGCGCAGAGCCGCGGTGTCCGCGCGCCGGGCGCTGCCGCCCCCGCCGGAGCCGACCCTGGCGCGGTAGACGCGCTGGTGGCCTTAGTCACTGTGCTCGAGGCGCAGGGCAAGCTCGCCTCGGGCCCGCGCGGCCAGGAGAGCGCGTTCCAGAAATGGGCAGCGCGCAACGCGCCCCTCTACTGGACGAGGGGCGGGGATATGCTCGAGACCCAGCTGATGAATCTCGTCTGGTTGACAGCACTTGGTGGGCAGCGCGCTCGAGTGCCTGCATGCGTGCGAAGCAGGCTTGCATGTGATTGCATCGTATTCCCATGTCGGGTCGTCGATGCTGTGTGGCATAGGTGTGCTTGCCCTTGTGTGCCTGGGTTTGAACAAACAGGGTCAGCAATGGGGTGGTCCATGGGGTTGTGGGGAGGGACACGAGCATCAACAGGCAGCCTCCGCCCGAGTCAGGGTTGCACTCGCCCGCCTGTGCCTGCTGTGCTGCACGCATCAGCTTGCCACTTTCATGCACCCCCGCGGCGACGCCTGCTGCAGCCGACGACGCAGCCATGCGCATGTCCCACGCAAACACTCATGCGCATGTCCCACGCAAACACTCATGCGAAAGTGCAAGCATGCACTTATCCCTGCGTGCACGATCGTGGCATTTGCGCACGCACGCAGACGGCGACGAGACGGCCGTGGATGCGCTGGGCACCCTGAAGCTGCTGCAGTACAGCAGCGACAGCCCAGTGTGGCCGACGCTGACTCAAAAGGACAACTTGATCATCCACGAGCTCATCAAGTGCGTGTTGGGGGCTGCCAAGGCTCTTTCTAGGATGTGATGTACGTATGCATGCGTGCGTGCGTGCGTGCGTGCGTGCATTCGCGCACGCATGCGCGTGTGCATGTGTGTGTGCATGTACGCGTGCACATGTGTGCACGTTTATATGCCAGTTTTAGGGGTGGTGCTGGGGTGGAAATATGAGATGCAGGTGTATGTCGCATGCTGTCCCGAGAATGTTGCCCAGGCCAAACCCACAGGCAGCCAGCTGCCCTTCTGGCCGCGACCGGCGGGCGGTGGCGGGCGAGGGCGCTCGCCGCCGCGCAGGGCCAGCAAACGCGTGCCTCCGCTTCGCGGCGATGCGCCATACCTACCCCACCCCGTCTCCCTGGGTTGGCCGGCTCCCGTCCTCCTTGCCCTTTGTCACAGGGCCAAGCGCTGGGGCATGGTCCTAAAAGCCGCACGTGAGGCACCTACTTGGATATGGCTTCGCGATGCGGCGCGCGATGGGCATGTCCCCATCTTGGTTCTCATCCTGCAGCAGGACCCCCCAGCCGGCACCATCACCGCGATCGTCTCCGCCATCGCGGCGGCCGCGAGGGCGCCGCACGACACCCCTGCCCGCGTACGCGAGGCCGTGCGGGCGGAGGCGCTCGTGGCTGGGCGGGATGGCGTGTGCGCGCTGCTGCTGGCGGTGCAGCGGCGCGCGGGCGGCATGGTGGAGGAGCTCCTGGCGCTCGGCGCCGACCCGCTCGTGCTGCGGCGCCCGCGGGGCGGCGGCAGCGGCGGTGGAAGCGGCGGAGGCGCGGCGAGGGCGACGACCCCGACCCACGAGGCGGTGGCTGCCGGGATGGCCAACGCGGTCACGAAGATGGCGGCGACGGACGCTTTCAAGAAGGCGGCCGACAGGTTTCTGGCAGACGCGTCGTCGGCCGCGGCGCGGGGCCAGGGCGGCTCGGCTTGGTACAACGGGGCCGGGGAGAGCGTGCTGCATCTGGCCGTGCGTCTGCAGGCCCCCAATATGGCGCGCACGCTGCTGGGCGCCGTCGGGCTCGCGGGCGCGCTGCAGCTGACCGCGCCACCGGAGGCGCCGCGGGCCGCGGCGGCGGAGGCGGCGCTGCCGGGCGGGGACGGGCCAAAGTCGGCGCTGCTGATGGCGGTTGAGGTGCGCACGGCCCTGAATATGAACGGGCTGATTAGAAAACACCCGCCTGCTCGCCTTCCACCTGCCGTCTTGTGCTTGGTCCGGCCATCAGTCAACGGTGCAGCCCTCCGCCGCTGGCATTGACTGGCTCTGCAGCAGTCTGCCGACACACCCGCTTCCCAGCGCAACAACGCACGCCACCCCTGGGCCTCAGTTAGGCGCCATCGCCCCCTCACCATCAAAATTGCACCCACCAAACACCCCCAGATCCAAGATTTGGGCTCCGCCTGCATGGACGGCTTCCTTCGCGCCTGCCTGGGGCAGTTTGTCGCTACCAAGCACCTGCCGACTGCCCTGCACCCAGACCTCCCTTTGGCATCCCAGCGCCGCCTCGCCGCCTGGCTGGCCCGCCAGCCGGCCGCGCTGCAGCCGCTCCGCTCGGACCCGCGGCGCCGCGGCGTTTTTCTAGAGGCCTGCCTAGCTGAAGGCCGCGCCGCGGCCGTCGAGCTGCTGCTGAGCCCGGCGGGCGCCGGCGCGGCGGGGCCGCTCAAAGGGGACGCCGCCGCGCAGGCGCGCCTGCTCGCCGCGTCGGCGGCGGCGAAGGCGCCCGAAATGCTGAGCGTCGTGCTGACGGCCGCGGGGGAGTCTCTGGAGCGGCCGTGCGCGGCGGGGCTGCAACTGCCGCACGGAGTGCTTGCCGCGCTGCAGGAGGATGAGCTTCTGACGCTAGTGCGGCTGGGCTTCAGCGTGCACGCAAAGGTGCGGGGCTGCGCGTGCAAGGACGTGCGAGTATGGGTATGTGGGTGCGGGCTTGCCGGTGTACAGGAGCATGGGCAGACCAGGTGACACGGTGTGGGGTTTGATGGTGCGGGTGTGGGGGCGCAGGGGTGCTGGGGGGCGCGGTTCCACGGGAGCGACGGCGGAAGGCGGGCAGGGGTTTAGGGATGCGGTGGTGCGGAAGTGTGTGGGGGGACAGTGGTGCTGAAGGGGGGAGGTGAGGGGTTGGCAGCGCCGCCTCGGGGGCGACGTGTTGCAGCGAGGTCCCACAGGAGAACCCCAGACGACACTTGCACCAAAACTTTGACTTTGAGCGGCCAAAAATGAGGGATCGACATCAAAGGCGCTCGCACTGCGTGTTCGACGCACCTCCCATTCCAGTGATGACGGGCCGGCCCCTGCCTGCCGGCGCTTCAACCTCGCAATCAATCAATCACCAACCACAAGCCGCCCCACCACCCGCAGGACGCTTCGGGAACGCCTGTCGCGCACGCGATCGCCGCCAGCCACCCGGCCGCGCTGGCCAAGCTCCTCGATGCGATGACGGACGATGACGTCGCCCTGGTCGTGGAGGGGACGGACGACCTGTGGAAGCACAACCTGCTGCACGTCGCCGCGTCGCTGCCGGACAGGCAGCGCGGCGTGTTGCTGGGGCCGCTGGTCGCGGCGGCGGCGCGGCTGGGGCTCGTGGGCGCGTTCGCGGCCGTCAATGGGAAGAGGCAGCCGCCGTCGGCAGTGACCAAGAACAAGGTGCGCCGCGGCATCACCTAGGCTTCTGCTTGCGGGAGCTGCGCTGTTACCGCGTTGCGGGGTCGGGGTGCTGCGTTGGTTCGGGTTGTCACTCTGAGCCTATGTTCATAGGTTGAAGCTTTGGACGTATGCCGCATTAATGACCGCGTCCTCGACCAGCACTGGCAAGCGCATGGTCCGCCGCGGCCACATGCCACATGGCAGAGACAATCAGACGCATCCAATCAACTGCCCTTTTGATGCAAGCTTGCGAGTCCTGACATGGCCGTTCACATTGTGCGTACGGCGCCCCGCAGCGCGTGAAGGAAACACTGAAGCAGGGGGAGGTTCAGGCCCGCAAAGCGGCTGCAGAGCGGGCTCGCGCCGCGAAGGCGGCGCGCGCGGCGGAGGAGGCGGCGCGGCGGCGGCTCGAAGCCAGCGCTGGCGGCGGGGGCGGCCAGGAGGGGGCGGGGGACGCCGGCGAGAGGGCAGACGGCGACACAAAGGGCGGTCAGCAGGAGGCAGGCGTGCAGGACAGCTGCACAACTGCAAAGGAGGGGGCCGAGGAACAGGGGCCGCAGCCGTCGCAGCAGCAGGAACAGCAGCAGCAGCAGGAGCAGCAGCGGCCGGTCGTCCCGGCCGCGGCTCCACCCGAGACCGAGAAGCAGCGCGCCGCGCGCGTCTCCGCCCTGCTCGATCGCCTAAACGAAGCCCTCGACGCCGCCGCGGACCGCCAGGATGCGGCGCAGCAGCGCGCCGCGGCCGCGGCCGGCAGCGCCGCCGCGCGCGCGGACGCTGCGCTGCGGCGCCGGATGGCGGGTCTCGCGCCTGCGCGGCCGGCGGACAAGGACGCGCCGCTCGGCGGCGAGGCCACGGCGGCGGCGGCGGATGGCGGCGGCGCAGAGGGCGGCGGCGAGGAGGCGGACGGCGTCGACTCGGACGATTCGGAAGACGAGGCTGCGTCAGCCGGGGGCGCCGCCGCGTCGGCATCGCCTGCCAAACGGCCGTCGAGCGCGCCGCAGCAGCAGGGGGCCGCCGGGACGCCGGGCAGGAGGGCGGCAGCGGCAGCGGGCGGCGTAGGGGATGATGAGGATGACGTGGATGAGCTTTCGCTGGAGGGGCTGCCTTGGGAGGTGAGCGGGCAGGCGCTTGTTCACAGGGCACCACACATTCACCCACACCTGCTGCAAGTGTAGGTCTGCGTCCCTGCCAGCGGCTTGACAGCGAATTGGAGTGCCAGCCTGATTCTAGTGTGATGCAGGCCGTGGCTGGAAGCAGTGGCTCAGCATTGTCCGGCACGACACGCCGTGCCGCGTGCGCCGCC